TCCACCAGCCCCTGGCAACCACCAATCTACTTTCTGTCTCTGGATTTGCCTGTTCTGGGCATTTCCTGTGAATAAGATCACACCGTATGGGGCCTTTTCTGTCTGGCTTCTTTCCTGTAGCATCATGTTTTCGAAGTGCATTCACACTGTAGCCTGTCAGTACTTTGTTCCGTTTTATGGCTGAATACTATTCCATCCTGTGGCTAGACCACATTTTGTCTTTCTCTGTTCATTTCTGGGTCATTTCCACCTTTGGCTGTTGTGAATGGTATGTTTCATTCCTTTTGGTTTGGTTTTCCTGGGAAGCTCTGTAAAGAGGCCAGCGGTCTGTATTCCTCTAGCGTGGCTCTTTGGAAGCCAGAGAAAGTAGAGCCAGAAATGGGTAGGTGGGCTGGGGACCCAGTGGGGTGAGAGATGGAGACAGAGGGAGTTTGTCGGTTTGGGAGAACTTTCTGCCAGAAGGAGGCCTTCAAGCTGGCCCCAGAGCCATCTGCTGAGAGGTGGGTATTTTTCCTTTTGATTATTAACTGATCATTATGATCCTGAGAATGGATTGCTGGGACTAGAACGGGTGCTCTTTTGAAATGCCAGAAATGTTTTCAAAGACATTAAACAGTGCTGGACCCTTCCTTGCTTCTCGCTCTCCACTTGGACATTAGATCATCATTTTAGGGGTTACAGTAAATAAAGATGATAATAGTAATAATGATCTGTATTTGTGTAGGACCTTATGTTTTATTTCATAGCCATTACATTTAATTCCTCAGAACATCATTGCCTCAATCTTGGCAGATGAAGGAAGTGGGACACAGAGAGGTGAGGTTACTTGCCCAAGGGCTCACAGTGGGGTAGCAGGTAGAGGCAGGCTGGAACCCGGGAGTCTCTTGATCCCTAGTGTGGGGCACTTTCATAGAAGTGGTGGGGAGATGACCTCAGAGCGTCTGGGTCTAGGGTCCCAATCTGAGTCTGGACGGAAGGAGCTAGAAGGCCTGAGTGCTGTAAGTAGGGCCCTCACCTGGGGGGATGAACAGTCCCATCTGACTTTCTCAGCTTCCACCACAGGCTCCTTGATCATTTCCTCTTGAGACCTGCATTTGGCTAAAGGCAGCTAGACCCACTCCCAGCTGCCCCAGGTTTGTCCATGCTTCCAGGGAAGGAATCCCAGAGCAGAGAACCTCAGTGCCTCGTGGTTCTGGGGCAGAGAGATGCTGAGTGGGAGGCACCCCCACGGCCCCCAGAGGCTGGAGGAGGCCCCTGACCACTTGTGTCTGCGTTTGCCACCTTTCTCCGAGCCCAGTGTATGAGCTTTCTCCTCCCTCTTCTGCCTTTTCTTCATTCCCCTTTTTCCCTCCTCCTGTGGGTCCCTGTGTGGGTCTGGGACCCCACATCTTAGAAGCTGTGTGTGAGCATTTGGCTGGCTTGGTCGGAAAGGCAGTTTCAGACTCAGTTCTGTGACCATGTCAAGATCACTGTGGTTCATAAGAAAGTTGTTACAAATAATAGTAAGGACACTGCCTCAAAACAACTAGACGTTTGTTGTCTCTGTTCTAGAGGCTAGAAGTCCAAGACCAAGGTGTGAGCAGGACCTGCTCCTTCTGAAGGCTCTGGGGTAGACGCCTTCCTCGAGTCTTGAAATCCCCAGTGGGGGCTGGTCACCCTTGGCGCCACTTTTGTCTCTGCCTCTGTTGTCACCTGGCGTTCTCCCTGTGTGTCTGCAGCTTCACATGGCTGCCTTCGCCTCTCCTAGGGACACCAGTCCAGTTGAATTAGGGAACCATCCTAATGACCTCTTGTCGCATCTCCTAATAAGGACATTCACGGGTCCTGGAGGTTAGGACCTCAGCATATATTTTGGGGGGACACAAGTTCAACTCGTAACAGGCAGCTTTGGCGTCTAGGAGGTGAGAATGGGGTTGGAGCAGTGTGTCCCGTCCCCTCCCACAGGTGCCATTCGAAGCCATCGCTATACCAGGGTGGGGTAGGTTTGTGACCAAGGGCCTCTGTGTACTCTGAGTTCTGCTCTCCTTGAAGGCCACAGTCTTGCCTTCTGTCCATGCTGGCATCCCATCCAGAGTCTTGGACAGAGCCCTAGAACAGGCACGAAGCTGCTAGCTACTGGTGCTTATTCCTGCTGGCACCTTCCAGGCTCCAGACACCATTGAGGGAATCCTTCTGGCTGGAAAACACCTCATGCCTTCACTGAATTGTCCTCACTGCTCCCTGGAGAGTGGTCCCAGGAGCTTATGCCAGCCTCCAGGGAAAACAGGCTGGTGCAGGGAAGTGGGGTGAGCCCAGGAGGGGTTTAATGCAGTGGCCCTTTGCCTGAGACTCAGGGGCCTTGGGTAATGACCACATCTGCTTTGGGCCCATGGGAGTGGACATCTTGCACCTTATGGGGTGGGGGAGAAGCAGACAGCATGACTCTGTAAATGAGTGTCCCTAGACCAGGGATGGTAAAAACCTGGCAACATTGCCCTCCTCTAGGACTGGTGTCCCTGGAGAGCCAGGACTGCAGTCAGGCGAGTGTGCCACAGCCTCCTCCTGTAGACTTTGGGCAGGGGGCATGCCTCCTGTCCCCTCCCTGCATGCTTCTTCCTTCTTGGCTCCCAGCCCCTGGGGGGTGAGGGGCTGCCCTCATCCATCCTCACCTCAGGGGACCTGAGGCTGGTGCCCTGGTCCCTGCTTATCCTTCCTCCCCTCCTTTCCCCCATCTTGGCTCTTCAGGGGCTGGGCGCTTTGAGGAGGAGCTGTAGCTGCGTGGGAGATGGCGTTGTGGCTGGAGAGGGCAAGCCTGTGCCAGGATCCAGCTCAGTGGGGTCCACGGGCAGGTGGGGGCCAGAGCAGCTGGGCTGGACCCCGCACTGGCCCAAGGCCAGAAATGGAAGGGGAATTGGTGGCTTCTGACTAAAAGGTAGAAGGAGGCTCGTTCATTCCTTTGCGTGTGAGCGTGTGCGCATCTACACGTGCTGAGTCGTGGCTCTGCTGGTTCTTGTGCCAGTAATAGTCTGAATCTGGAGGGGGGCACCTTCCTTCTCCTCCACCCACACCCTCAGAGTGGGACCTAGGTCCAGAAAGACATGAAGAAAAAGATGGAGGATCAGAAAGGGGGTCTGATCAGAAAGGCAGGTTGAGGTTAATGGGGGTCATATGGATCCTGTACAAAGTCAGATGTTCATGCAGCCTCCTTACCTGGTTGCCTAGAGGACAATGAGGCATGGCCTGCTGCAGGGCTAGGCGAGAGTCATGTCGGGATAGATAGGCCTGGCACCACCTGGCCTGGTTTTCTTTCAGGTTGGGCTGCCCTGTGGGCTAAGGGGTTGTAAACCCATCCTGGGGTGGTGCCTGTCTCTCGTGCAAGGGCTTCTTCTGGAAATGCAGAGGGTGGGGCTCTGTAGGGAGGGTGGGTTTCTCTCATGAAGGAAGCCTGGGGTTGAGGCTGTCCTCCCTGTTGGCAAGATGTGGGCTGGAAAGTACAGAAGCATTCCCTTGAGGTGGCAGTGGGGGTCCTTTGGACATCAAGGTGGGACCCAGGTATCAGACTGACTCTGCTTCAGGTTGGGGCTCTGGAAAAGGAAACAGTTGCAAAGTTGGAAGCCTTGGTGGCTTAGCCTGGTCTTGGGCTCTTAACACTGTTACCCTAGCCTCTCCCTGCTGTCCCAGGAGACAGCCAGGGCACGTCCAGGACTCCAGAGTGCCTTGTCTGGGGCTCCCCCAGGTACTGTCCAGCTGGCCTTGTTGTGTAACCAGTGCTCCAGAGCCTTATCTCCCTGCCAACATCCTGCCTGGTGACTGGACTGGAAACTAGCGCTCCTTGGTCACCAGCAAGGGCCAGATGGAAAGTGGGGAGTATGTGAGAGCAGTGAACTTGTTGCTGTCATGTTGTCATGGTGACACGATTCTGTTGAGCTGCTTCTCCATGGTCCTAGCCCACATGGACTAAAATAAGTTCTACCTGCAGCTCACACAGCAGGCAGCCCCATCCTCCCAAGGTCAGCTCTCTGGCCATGGTGTGTGTGTGTGTGTGTGTGTGTGTGTGTGTGTATGTACGCGTGTGTGCACACAGTCATAGGGGCAAAGGGGACATTTATATCCTGTTCTGTCTCTCTTTCTTTGGTCCTGAATTCAAATGTATTTTGAATACATCTATCAAATGTATAGCTGCGTTTTATTAACCACTGTAATTTTGGCAAATGAAAATACTTGAAGATAAACAGTAACTGCTACAGTTTCAGGGCCTAATTATTTTCTACTATGTCATTGCGGCAAAACGGCTACGTTTATTTTGATGCCTTTCAGTGTTTGTCCATGTGTCTGAGGCGTGTAGGTGTTGTGGGTCTTATATGTCTTTAGAACGGCAGTTCTAAAACTGCAGCGTACATCAGAGGGATTGTAAACCCAGATTCCCAGGCCCCATTGCTGGAGACCTTGGTGTGCACCTGAGAATTTGCATTTCTCACGGGTTCCCAGGTGATGCTGATGTGGCTGGTGCAGGGACCGCACAGGGAATAGCCCCAGGGGGCTCAGTCGGTTAATCCTCCTACTCTTGATTTCCGCTCGGGTCATGATCTCAGGGTTGTGAGATTGAGCCCCAGGTCTGGCTCTGCACTCAGCAGGGAGTCTGCTTGAGATTCTCTCTCCCTCTTCCTTGCCCCCTCCCCCTGCTCACACGTGTGCACGCATGTGTGCTCTCTCTCTCTCTCAAATAAATAAATGAGCAGAGAGCCCGATGCGGGGCTCGATCCCAGGACCCTGGGACCATGACCTGAGCCGAAGGCAGAGGCTTTAACCCACTGAGCCACCCAGGCGCCCCCTGTGTTAGGTTTTAAAACAAAACAAAACAAAACAAAGTTTACCGCATTCCAGTAGAGAATGCACCCAAGTCTAGTTTTGCACGGTGTGTATTAGACCGGGTCCCCATGCCCGGCTCCTGTTGGCAGAGAGAGGGAATGGCTCAGGCGGGCCCTCACTCAGCTCTTCTGTGTTCTGTGGCCTCTTCACAGGAAGCAGGAGCTGGCCAACAGCTCGGATGTGACCTTCCCAGACCGGCCGCTGTCCCCTCCTCTCACGGCACCTCCCACCATGAAGGTAAGAGGCTTAGTTAGAGTTGGTAAGTGGGGAGGGAAGTAGCTGTCCCTTTGGTCCAGGCCCAGCTGATGCCGTCCAGTGGGTGCCATGGAGTGCCCTGACAACCTCAGGAGGCAGTGTCCACCTGAGCTCACCAAGGCGGGGGGAACTATGACTGAGACTTGGGGGTGTCAGGGGCTGAAGGAGGCCTTGGGGAGCTGTGGGGTCCAGGCAGGAATGAGTGCAGCCTGGTGTCTTCACTTGATCTTAGCCAAAAGGCCTAGAAGGAATTGCAGCCTGGTGTCTTAGGGGGCTACTGCCCAGGAGGGCTGCCTGGTGGCGGGGCTATGGAAGGTGGGTCTGTGGGGTGGCCCCTTCCTAGGACTTGGGTGGCACTTGCATGGTGGTCTACCTGCCTCTGACTGGCCCTCCTGGGGTGGCCCTGTCACCCCAGTCCCTGTGGGAGAGTGGCTCTGGAGCTTCTGGGGGTCAATAATTCTTTCCTATTAGTACTTTATTCACAAGTCTCCTTCCTGGGAGACCACCTCCCAGAACCCCAGCCCTGACTGCTCATTCCTGGAGAGGAGCTGAGGCGTTGTACCCTCCCTACACCATGCCCGTCTCCCTTCAGCTCTCAGTCCCCCTGACAGGATGGTCACAGGGAGGACTTTGGCTCAGCCAGTATTCCCACCTAAGCAGCAGTGCATGATGGTCCTTCCCACCCTCCCTCCTTCTCACAGTTGGGCAGGTGAGGACTAGCTCTGAACAAGTCCGAGGATTTGCTTCCTGAGTCATCTGAGGGGACAACTAGTCCACCTTCCATCTTTGTCCTAGAGCTTTGCTGTGAGATGACTCACAGGGAAATAATTACGCCTCTCTCTCCTCTTGGTCTTTGTTGTATCCCTGCTCCCCTAACCTGATCTGTTGGAAAATGACCCCCCCTAAAGGAAGTAGATAAAAGCCTCCTTTCCGTTATCACCCCATACTGAATGCCCACCACGCGGAGAGCTGTGTGATATGCATCAAGGGGGAATGTCATAGAATGACAGCCAGAGCCTGCCCTGGTTGGATTAGGAGTTCAGGAGTTGGTGGGGTACAGGGCTGACTGCAGACAGCTCTGCCTTCTTCCTGGTGGGGTACCCATGGGCACTGAAAGGCAGAGCACCTCCATTAGCCTAATCCCAGTGCAGGCATCCGAGCCAAGTGCTGGGGGCTTTGTTTGCCCAGGGTGACGCTGACAAACACGTCACCATTCTCAGTTTCAGCCCCTTGGTCTTCAAAGTTGGTTGTCAGATGCTTGTCACTGTGCTTCTGGGTGGCGGAAGTTTGCAGGAAGAAACCTGGAAGTTTCTGAGGAAGAGTCACTGAGTTCTCTTGGCAGACTTCCCTTACTCACATGCTCATTTAATTCATTCAACACCCAGTACTTGCTTGAATGTTGTATTAGTCAGGACTCTTGGTTACAAGTGATGGAAACATAACTCACTTTGGCTTACACATAAAACAGAATTTATTGCTTTGTGATGGCAAATATGGACTCTAGGCATGACTGCATCTATGAGATTTGCCTCATTCCATCTGTCTTCTGTGTTGGTTTTGTTCTTTTTAAGCTCTGTCTCCGTGGTGGCAAGATGGTGACAGTAGCTCCTACCTGCTGAGTAACTTCAGTGGAAAGAAGAGTCTCTTCCCTATGGTACTTCTAGCAAAAGTCCCAGGGAGGAAGCTGGAGGGCCTGGTGTAGGTCACCTGTCCAGTTGTGAAGCAATCACTGTGGCCAGAGGGGTGGGGGCTCTGATTGGCCAGACCTGGGTCTCACGACCTGCTATCTAAGCTCAGAGAACCGAGAGTGGGAGAGGGGTGATTTTTCAAAGGAACATTGAAGGGTCATTAGAAGAAGATGGGGGGATGGAGGCAGGGCGGACAAGACCAAACAGCTTTCTACCACAGGTGCTTGCCGTGTGCCAGGCCCAGTGAACAAGGCATCATGGTCCCTGCCCTTCTGGAGCTTGTCATCTAGTTGGGGAAGGGGAGGTGAAAGTTGAAAAACTAATTTGAAGATGAAGGATGGACAGTTAGGTGTGATGAACGTTCCAAAGGAGAAGTGGAGCCTAGCTCAGGGGCTATTTAAGGGGTGTGCATGCGTGTGTGTATGTGTGTGTGTGTGTGTGTGTGAATCGAGCCGAACCTTGGAGAGGGTCAGGCAGGACTTCTTAGGAAATGACGTGGAAGCTGAGCCCTGGGAGTTGAGTAGGACTTTGTTTGGCAAAGGTGCTGTCAGGGTGGAGGAGACTGTTCTAGATGCTTGCTGCTCCATGCGAGGCCAAGGGACCAGCAAGGCCCGCATCATGTGGGAGCGCCTCAGAAGTGCAGAATCTCGAGATGGGTACACAGATGTGCGCTGCAGGCTCCGTGAGCCTCCCTGGAGCAGGAGAGAGGTGGCTGCGTGGGCAGAACGGGAAACCGGAAGGGCCAGAGCACCCACAGTTAGGGACAAAGAGGAAGACCCGTAGAAGTTTTCTTTTATTTTTTATTTTTAAAAAATTTAATCTGAGGACATTTTTTATGTGGAAGTATAGTTGACACAATGTTGCATGAGTTTCTGGTGTACAACATAGTGATCCGACAAGTGTGCACATTAGGCTCTGCTCACCACAAGTGTGGCTCCCATCTGTCCCCACACAATGCTGTCATAGCACCACTGACTGTATTCCTGACACTGGGCCTTTCATCCCCATGACTTAGTCATTCCAGAACTGGAAGCCCGTGCCTCCTACTCCCCTTCACCCACTCTGCCCATCCCTTCCACCTAGACCCTTAGAAGTTTTGTTAAAGATTTTGGGCTTTATCCTGACTAAGGACATTGATGTCATTGTAGATTTTTGTCTGAGCAGTAGCCAGAGGATGGGACTTTTGGAAAATCACCCCGGCTCTTGGGTGGAGAGTTTGTAGGAGAAGCAGAGGGAAGTGGGGGAGGTGTTGGGAGGGCACTGAGGGAGTCTGGTGCAGGGGTGGGGAGGAGACGATGGTGGCCTGACTCTGAGGGTTCTGTGGGGTTGTTTGGAAGTGGTCAGATCTCTGATTTCCCAGGAGGTAGATTAATGAGATAGGAGGATGTGGGGAGAGAGAGGAGGCAAGAGTGACCTCGGGTTTGGAACAACTGGTAAATGGTGAAGCTGCTCTCTGAGATGGGGGACCCCTGAGGGAGGATGAGGGCTGAAGGTGTAAGTGCTGCATTGCCCATGTTTGAGACACAAATGCTTAGTTTGGGGGCCAGACTCAGAAGAGGGTCTGGACTGGAGGCAGTAATCTGGAGCCTTTCTTCTAAGGGGGACATTAAAACTTGGGGCGGAGGGCTGGGCCGGGGCCAGTAAGTGCTCCAGGGAGAGTGTGGAGTGAGAAGAGGAGAGATTCCTGGGGTGGCACCCTGGGGGACTCTCCCAGCAAAAGTTAATGTGGAGAAAGCTGGAGACTGGGTGGGAGGAGTGTTCCACGAAGGAAGGATGGACAGCTGTGTCAGCGGGACAGAGAGGCCCAAATATGGGGGAGCACGTGTGGCCGGGCCGTGACTTGGGACAGTTCTGGGGAGGGAGATGTGGACAGCAGACAGGGGTGGGCTGAGGAGTGAGTGGAAATGTTGGAAGAAGGGAGCCACGAGGGTGCATGGATACAAGAGGGAGGGGTGCTGATCAGGAATCCGGAGCATAAGTAAGAGATTGTTAGTTAGTATAGTGATTCATTCAAAACATTTATGACTCGCCTTGGGTGCCCAAGCCTACTCTGTTCTGGCCAGTACAGGGCCTGACAGGTTGTTGGGGGTAAGGCTGGCCTTACTGGAACTCCAGGCAGGCTCCGAGCAGAGCGCTAACCTATCGGGGTGGCTTTCCTGTCCAAAGCCTCAAGGCCAAGGTCAGAGCTGAGGACTCAGAGGAAGATATGACAGGTCACCCTGGAGGCTCACACTGGGGTTGGGACCCTTCTGTGGTTGGGGTTGGGGGTCAGTGTGTGTGGGTGTGGGTGTACCTGGACTTAGGGGTCTCTTGATGACTGTTATGTGGGCTTGTTCTGTGGCAAAGACTTAACCTGTGGCCATGGTTAAGAGGCTGTCTGTGGCTAGCCTATTTTTTTGTCCTTTGGCAAAGCATACTGACTCATACAGTTAAAACCACAGTCCTCCTGCCAGCCTGCTCATCACAGAGGGAGCGTCCCTTTTGTGATTGTACTTCCCAAGCCCTGTTGCTGGCCATTCGACACCACCCTGCACTGAGCTCCTCAAGGGCAGCGACTCTCCCGTTCTCTGCTGGTGGATGTTTTTGGCACGCGGACTGTCTGGGACATCCGGGTGGGAGGAACCTGTGACTGGTCTTCTACTTCTCTGGTTTTGCTTGAATCTCATATCCTGGCAGACAGACCCTCTGTCTCCAGGTAATACTTTTCTGAATTAAGCCCCCAGCCTTGTGATAAGATGCAGACTAAAACTCCCCCTTTCCTCATCTGTCGTAGGGGAGTTTCTACCTGCGTGGACCTGGGCTTCCACGGGTGATGTCGGGCTCAGGCCTCTGCTTTGCCAAGCTCCCGAGCTCCCCAGGTTATTAGTGCACACTGATGTCTGAGACATCCAGGGTAGAAGCTAGCCTCTCTCCAGGGTCTCTGGCCTTGGGGGTTCTGCAGCATGGCCCTGCTGTACCTCCAGCATCTGGGCAGTGGGGGCAGTGCAGGCTTGGGGCAGCACTGGCAGGCCTCCCCCTTGGGTGGATTAGCTTGGGAGTCATAGAATATCAGGGAGGGATGAGTAATTTCTTTTATAGATAGATTGGATGGGAAATTAGACTCACCTAAGGTCCTCCTGAAGATAGTGGTGCTCCCCCTTCGGTCAATACAGTAAGTTAAATTCTTAAACCCAACCAGTTTTGGTAAAGTGCTCCTCCCATCCCACCTCTCACAGCCAGGACAGCCCCTCCTCTGGTTGCTTCTCCTACCAGAAAGGGACTGCAGGAGCAGAGGGAGCCTGCAGACCCCCTGAG